CCTTTATCACTGATAGGTTTCTTGAACATACAGTCATGGCCCCCAAATATGACCGACTTCAGCGTTTTTTCTAACCTGGTGACCATTGGTGGAAGAGTGCTCTACAGGTAGGTGTCAATGCAGATGCCTTCGGGTCTCCTGAATTTAAAAGGGAGCATCATGTGTACATGAAGTCAAAACCATCACTCTTACTGATTTACTAATTCTGGGTAATCATATTTTCACCTATAATTCCAAAGATAACTCCATGAAAATAAGCTATGGTATTATTTATAGTTTGATAAATATATTCTGTCTATGACTTAAAGTAATATTCATGTTTTAAATATGGAGTATGTGATATGAGCCATAAAATTAAATCTTTTTTTTTTGGATCATATGTTATTATAATTAAAAGACAGAGTTGAGTGACTTGATAATTACACAGGTGTGTGATACAAATGCTTTTGTATTAGGAGGCTCTCTGTTTTGTCTCTGGTGTTATCATATGAACTACACATTTCAGGGTTGATGTTCCAGGAATTGGTCCACCACTCTGCATGCAGCATTGGTTAATGAATGGACAGAAAAACTCAGGATTAGAAGAATATTGTTCTAAAATTCCAATGTCTATATTTTTAATTCACATGTTAATAGTAAATTACTTATTCTTTACTAAGCAACTGGTTTTATTTTAGGTTTCTCTGATTTCCTCTCTATAAAGTTCTTACTCATGAACAATTAAAAGTCCATTTACATAAGAAGGGTTTTATTTACTGTCTGGTTAAATTACAGAGATATCTAAAATCAAAACTATCAATAAGTATTGTTAAATAATGTTTCATAGAAAGGGTTAATCTCCCTTTTAAAATCTAAAACAGGTATGTCTGTAAGAGATTTTAAAAAATGTAAAGAAAAAACATTTAATAAAAAAGAACAGTTGAAAGATAGAATCTATTTTATTAAAGTGTTATATATAAACAATTTTTATTATCTGTTGAATAAAATGTTATACATCAGTGAAGGCATGGCACTAACATTATAATCAATATTTCAGGGTGGTCGTGATAGAACCAAAAATGTGTGATAATGAATTACATCTCAATCTTTATCACTGAGCACAGATACATATGCACAGACACTTCACATGTAAAATAACTGTAAATATTAACAGCAAAGTATATTTAGAAATATAAATGAAAGGGGAGATCTTTGACCTACACAATGTAAAATATATTCGTTAGTTGATCGAAATGTTAGAAGCATATTTGTTATTTAAGAAATGGAAAAGAAAAATAATTACAGAAAGGTAAATATGTTGAAATAAAAACAGTTTTCTTGAAATGATATTTGATTCATATAGAGTAGTTGTTATTTATCTTTTAGAGAAGTTTTCCCCAGCTACCGAAGCCATCTGAGTATATATTTTTAAACTTTAGTTTAATTGTATTTACTATTCTTCTGTTCAATTTTAATATCTCCTAACTTTACTTACACATTTTTCTTTGGTGTCTGAGGGATAAATCAAAGCTAAATATCCATAGTCATTTTCCATAATATCTAATCTCCAAAAGCATTTCTAAACCTATTGCAGAGTTTCAGTAGAATTAAGATCTTACTTTGAATAGATTGCTAGCAATCCTATAAATATTTATTTAATCTTAACACAGGATTTCATTGTTAAAGGGCTTAAAATTAGGGCTGAGCAAGTCAAGGCAATGAGCAGATACTTCAGTGGTAAGTATATAGACAAAGAGATATATTGTCAATATTTATAATTTTAAGAAACAAATATTTTCCTTTTGGGGGGTCAAATTATTACTTTTAAAAGTGATAGTAACATATAAAGAAGGAAGATTGATCTGAACACAGATTTATGAACTTAATCTCTGCTTACGCTCCATGACACTCTTTTTGGAGTAAGATGTGGAATCCTCTTGCTTCGGGATGCATTTCATTCTTCCGTCTTCTCCCCCACCCCACCAGTGGCCTCTCCTTGCTCATCCTCAAGCAACAGGGCATCACCTCTCTGCAGTTCCAGTCCCTGAAGGAAATCAGTGCAGGAAACATCTACATTACCGACAACAGCAACCTGTGTTATTATCATACCATTAACTGGACAACTCTCTTCAGCACGATCAACCAAAGAATCGTAATCCGGGACAACAGGAAAGCAGAAAATTGTAGTAAGTACATTACCCTGACGTTTAAAACATGTTCTCCCATTCCACATTGGACCGAACAATTAAAGTGACAGCAGGTCAGAGTTGTTGTCCTTATCCCAGCAGTTAAGAAAGACGGTAGTTAGTATAGATACCAACATGGTATAAAATAATTAGCTTAAGTGAATTTGTGTAGCATATATGTTTGAACATCTTGCCTCCTCTTAGGAAGCCCCTGTGGAGAGTTAGATTCAGTAGGTCCATGTAGAATGTGGGCATTTAAATGTTTAATAAGCATCCTGGGTAATTGCATGGATCCAGTTTGTGGAAATCCACTTTATTGAATTAGTTGTTTGCTGTTTGGTTTCACTGAGTTCAGTCACATGGTAACAGAGTTTTGCCATTGGAGGGAGGTGGAAAAAGTGAAGGTCCATGGGAAATACTGTTCGGAAGTTTTATTGTTCAAGAAGAAAGTTCATTTTATAAATGCAATTATGTAAGAATATCATTTTGTCCTTTTAATCGATTTTGCTACTTATTGATCTACTTTCTTTGTTACACCAAAGCAGATAATGTCTTTATAGCCCATAATCATACCATTCCTATTTAATACACTGATACTCCAATAATTAACTTTTAACCCCCCCCCCGTTTTTCTACTGAGTACTAATCTTTTCTACATATTATGAGTGCCTCTATTATGCATATAAGAATTTGATTTATTTATGGTAAATACTAAATAAATAAAATATACTGATCTGTTTGCAAATGCATATTCTTGTGGGTATGGACTGAGTCCTCTGTAAAAGGTGAATTTCCTAACAAAACTTTTGCTCTCAGGGAATTTTCTTACTTCTTTGATCTTACCTTCAGAACCATCATAATGGGACACATAAATAATGATCAAATTCATACTGGTGTGTGTGAGTATATGAACAAATAGTGGAGAACATTATTTTTAATTAGAAACTCTTGCTGATTCCTGAGAGAAATTGCTTTTTAGTCCTTGTACTTAAGCTTTTTACCCCACATTTCTCCGTGTGAGAAAGCCCTACCCAACGCAGAAGATTCATGGCAGCAAAGTAGACTCTCCATCAACATTAATTTATACATATTTCTCTAATTGACATTATACTCTCTTTTTCTTCTACTTCCTTTAAAAAATAGTACCTCTAGTTCTCAAAGCAAGATTCTAATATGCAGACAAAATTATCTAAAGGAAAATAGGAAGGAATCGAAGTAAAACATTCCTCCTTGTTGTCATTTAGTTTACAAATTCTATAAATATTTTTTAATCTTTTTATATCTGAATAGCAAAGGAAACAGGAAAAGCAAATATAAAAAAGTTAAATTTTGAAAAGCAATGTGGCAAAAAAGGGAGATCTCAATAAATGATATAATGTAATTCCATACCTCTTTAAAACTTCTAAACTTTTCAAAGAATCAAAGAGAGTAAATAACAATAAGGATAATAACCTGGGATGTTCATAAATTTTCAGGGCTATACTTCTTGGACTGCGTTTAGCCACTTTCTACACCATGAACATATTTTTTTTGTTCTATGCACTTAGAGTTGACTTTGCAGTTTGGGGGAGAAATGAAGCAGTTAGAAGGAAAATGGTTTTGTGGGGCTATAGTATAAAATCAGCCATGTCGTTTTTCACTTTTAACATCTTAGAATAAATATATTTGGTATGAAATCCTATTTATCAAAATTTGGACTTCAGTCTCACAGCACATTGAATCCAAGAAAGTCCTAGAGGCCTGCGTTTCAGAAATGGAATTACCCTGTAAACTTGACCTCAGCAATGCTGCTAATGTTTACAGTGAGCCTGCCACGGTTCCTCGTATCCGATTAAAACCTTCTCCACGTTACTGTCTGTAAATGGGAAGGTCTAAATATTGGCTTCATTTTAAATGTACTGTAAACGTTGTGTTTTCCGATATTCTGTCTTTGAATACCATGCACAGATAAGATGTAGGTTAGTGTGCACACATTCAGTACAACACGGAAGTGGACACACACATGCAGCCCCTGTCACGTGTCTGCACCTAGAACGCAGTCACACGCACAACCCCACACTCGTTCACCCGCACATACTGATCACCCCACCGAGATGCTCTGATCTCAGTCTGAGGAGCTTGGAAAAAGAAGCAACGTTTTTGAATTCGGCATGATTTAAAACAGTAATGACAATAACAGAAAAACTTGAGCTCAACTATAAAGGGTGACAATGGCTTGAGTACTCTTACTCTTTTAAGTCAAAATTTCAAAGCAGGCTTTACGGTTTGAAGATAGATTGGGAGAAACTCTAAAAGAGAAAAGCTAGAACGTTTTCTGCCTCCATCATTTATTTGGTTCTGGTACTGACAAAACGATAGTGCTGGGTGGAAGAAGTTTTAGGATAGTTTATAAAAGCAGTTGCAGTTTCTTAACATAGTTCAGCATGAATTTTTAACACCAAAATATAGTGTAGAGATAAATATTACATGAGCCCTTCAGAATCAGAGTTATATCTGAACTCATTTCACACCTTTAAAATATTTGTACATAATTAAACCCAACATAGAAAATTCATTATTTAATAGAAATACAGTATGTTGGCCAGATGTGGTGGCTCACACCTATAATCCTAGCACTTTGGGAGGTTGAGATGGGAGGATCACTTGAGCTCAGGAGTTGGAGACCCACCTGGGCAAGTGTACGACCCCATCTCTAGTAAAAATAGAAAAAAATAATGGGACATGGTGGCAAGTGCCTGTAAGTTGCAGCTACTCAGGAGCCTGAGGCAGGAGGATTGTTTGAACCCAGGAGTCTGAGATTGCCGTGAACTAGGCTGAGGCAATGACAGTCCAATCCCAAGTGACAGAAAAAGACTTTGTCTCAAAAAAAGAATTATAGTATTTTTACTTTTCCAATTACAATAGTATACATCTCATTGTTAAGAATCAAAATGATCTAAAAATATTTAAGGAAGATAAAAATTTGGGGTGAATATATGTGTAATACATCTAACTGGAGATAAATATATATTTGAATGTATAAATGGGATCATATCATATATATTTAAATACAGTATTTAAATGCTTATGTTTATTTCTATGTTTATTTCTAAATATATTATGAGCATCTCCCATTCCTTTAAAAAGCTGTCTATAAAAGAATTTGTTGAAGTCAGCACCGTATTGATACTGTATATCATTTTCTATTTTTCATGTTATTGCTACTGCAAACATGTGTATTCTAATTCATAAAACATTATACTGTGCCATTATTTCCTGAGTTTGAAGACCTAGAAGCAGAATTTCTGTATAAATGAGGATACATGAAAATGTTCTTACATGTAAGGTATACCTACATTATCTTTCAAAAATACAGGATCAGTTTACATTTGTTCCAAAAATTGTGTCATAGGGATGTTCTCCACCATTCTTCACAACTCTGGATATCATTATTATTATTATTTTTTTTTTTTTGCAGTTTTTGGCCAGGGCTGGGTTTGAACCCACCACCTCTGGCATATGGGACTGGTGCCCTACTCCTTTGAGCCACAGGCACCACCCACAACACTGGATATTATTTATGGTTATTAAATTTCAGTGATGTGAAAGAAGAAAAAGGAAATCTGTTATATTTAAATGATTAACTTATCCTTTACATTTTTTATCTTGTGAATAACTCATTCAATTATCCATGAACACTTTCCATTTTCAAACTGGGAATTGGCCTTTTCCTTCTAAAGTTGAAAGACTCTTCACAAAGTAAATCCATTATGTGTGTTGTGAATAACTTTCCCTTTCATGGGTGACATTTAAACTTTTTTCTTTTGATAAACAAACATTTTATGTTTGTGTATAGGTAAACAGCTGGATTCTTCTTTATTTGTATTGTATTGTATTTTTGTAGAGACAGAGTCTCACTTTATCACCCTTGGTAGAGTGTTGCAGCATCACACAGCTCACAACAACCTCCAACTCCTGGGCTCAGGCAATTCTCTTGCGTCAGCCTTCTGAGTAGCTGGGACTACAGGTGCCCACCACAACGCCTGGCTATTTTTTGTTATTGTTGTTGCAGTTTGGCTGGGGCTGGGTTTGAACCCACCAGCCTCAGTACATGGGGCTGACGCCTTACCCACTGAGCCACAAGTGGTGCCCATATTCTTCTTTTTGATCTTGACACATAGTTCTTTTCCTGTGGTACTTTAAAAACTATATTGAAATTTTTAACCCATCTGGAAGTTTTTGGTACAGGATTTTTAAAAAAATCTCTAATTGATTGGGATGTTGGTCCAGAATAGTTTATTGAACAATACATCTCTTCGTATTGATTTTAGGTATCTACAATATTTCAGTTAAATAATTAGCTAGAAGGTCCTAGACTTTCTCTCTGAATACATCTACATTGTGTAATTTACTCATTACAAACTTGCTATAATGTATAATTATCCACCTTTTGCTGATGATTGTGTAGATATTAAAACACTAAATTATACGTTCAATTCTGGACCTACTAAAAATCATATCTAATATCTGCCTGATTTCACAGTCTAGGTTCTCTGTTATATCATGCTTCCTCTCAAAATACAGAAAAAGTGTCTGATTTTTCTAAAAGTATTTGCTACCATAAATAACTGCATTATAAACATAATATTCAGGAACATACTTTAGAGCCAAATGGTGTGGGTTTTAATCCTGGCAAAACTCTTTACTGACAGAACTTTGGTAAACCTAGCTACAAAATTTTGTTATTTTCCTGTTAGAAATCGTTTGTGTTATGTACTCACATAAACTTATATGGTCTGAAGGTACAATATTTAAGTTAATGATAAATTCCTTTGGGGGGAATAAAAAGAAAAGGGAAATATCAAGAGCTTTCTGTTACAGGCAGAAGAAAAATTTGTCAAAGTGCTGACTTATAAAATTTGCAAGAAGCACATCAACCAACCAGCAGTGGACATGGAAGGGATGAGTAGTTATTAATAACAGCTTAGAGATTAAAGAATTTAAAGATTATCTCAAGATCT